GATATGAACCTTTTGATAACTGTTATGAAATTTCTATTTAGAATTGTGTATCTAAAACTCATTTTGGTTAGCGGCAAGCTTTTTGACTTGTCTATCCATTACTGATTTAGTGTTTTCATGTACACTATGGCAAAAATGAGATTCCAACAATGTTTTATGTATAACTTTTATGTACCTACTTTGAACCTGCTTGCATTAAGTATTACTTCTGTTACTCTTCCATCTAACCAAATAGAACATGGAGATTGTGTGAAAATGCCCTTTCTGAGGTCCCTTACCCCTGTTTTCCATTGCATAAATTCAATCCTTTTTTTTCTCTCTTCTTCTTTTTTTTTATTTTTATTTTTTATTTATTCTTTGGGTGGGGTGGTTAATGTTGTGTACAATTTTTGGGGCAATCTCACTTAATTATATTTTGCCATCTGTATCACAGGTAGGTGATGATGAATTGGGTTACATGTTGGCTGACATTTTGAAACAAAATAATGTGATACCTCCGGCTTGCGATATGATTCCTCTCAAGGACTGCACTGGCATTTATCGCTCAAGCTGATGGTGGCGTGAATTTCTGTTTTTTCGTCATCCAAGTGCTGATATGCTTCTTCGTGAACCAGAACTTGATAAAAACCTGATTAAGAAGGTATTTTATCTCATTCTTTCTTTATTAAGAAATATAGCACAATTCTTACAGATTCTAGTGGGATTTTTATGTGTTAGAGAATAATCCATTCCCAAATTATACTTGATTGCAGGCCAGCATCTTCCACTATGGTCTATTAGTTTGATTTCAGAACCTTGCAAATCAACTCATCTTGCTGCCATGAAAATGGCCAAAGAGTCTGTAGCATCCTCTCTATGATCCAAATTTGAGATTGCCACTATGGCCTCAGAAGATGCGGCTCGGGAGGGCATAATGAGTATATGGGATCAAGCAGATATCATTAAGGTATGATTTGAAATGAGATTCAAGGCGTAAAAATGTTTTTCTGCTGCATTTGTGCAAATACAATAATAGCTCTTTCTTTTTTTGCATAAACCTGATAAGAATTCACTCATATATGATCCAATCTTTTTTGTGGTCACCTTATGAATTGGCAGATAATGAAGATGAAATCACATTCTTAACTGGAGGTGACGATCATAATGACATAATGTAGTGTTAGAGAAGCTGTTTCATCCTAATCTCAAGCTTTTGGTTGTAACTGAAGGATCAAAGGTTGTAGATATTATACCAAGGTAAGAGGCGCTGTCTTTTTTGTTTAATATTAGACTTATATGTTCCATCTGAAACCTATTCTGAAACTCCTATTCTCTTATCATATCTAGACTGTTTTTCACCAGCATTGGGTATTGACTGTAGATTTGCATTTAGTCTGGTCAGACTAAATATAGTACCCTATAAATTCAAAGATGTGTTAGAGGTGCATGCTTTTCGATAACCCGTGGATCAGGATCATAAGTTGTACCATTTTATTTATATGTTTTTCATTTATTTCTATATTTGACAAACGTGTAAACCAAAATTTTTTGCAGGAATTTAGAGGTTGTGTTCCTGGTGTTAAAGCTAAACTGTGGACACAACTGGTGCAGGTGATGCATTTGTCAGTGGGATACTTAACTGCCTGGCTTCTGATCTAAGCCTATTCAAGGTACTTATAATTTGTTTCTTGAATTAAGAGAAATCAATAGTATTTAATATTTTTTGCTATTGCTCAAACAAGTTGCCTATAATATATCAGTTTGATTTCCACTAGAGCTGTATAGACATATATCATTTTATGTTTCATTATTCACTGTGAGTGCCATGCTCAGATGTGATCTAGTTCATTCAACAAACTATCATTGATGTAGCCAATTACCTAAGCTTGAAAAAAGATCATACCGTTTTTCTGTTGCCTTTGGAAGATGTAGAAAACTATTACAAAATATTGCCTTAATTTTTCAACATTTGCATCTGTTCCTACTTGTATTGCAGTTGCTTTTTATTCCCAAATTCACTCTATACATTACCATTGACGGATACAAATAGGAAAATAGAAAATCAATCAAATTAGCTTCAATGTCACCAAAAGAAGATTGCGTTTCCTTCAATAATTTTTATTATTATAACAGATGAGAAGCGGCTTGTGAAGCTCTACTTTTTGCAAATGCCTGTGGCGCTCTCACGGTAACAGAGAGAGGCGCAATTCCTGCGCTGCCTACAAAAGAAGCTGTCCTGAAACTCTTAGAATCAGTGCAGCATCATAAGAGTTGTTTGTACTCGTTAATTTGTTGTAATTTGAGTTCCATTTGTGAAGTAACAAAGAGCTCTTTGCTCTTTCTTTCTTTTCCTTCCCTAAGAAAGTTACATATGCACTAAAGTGCTGTAGATGCAAGAGTTATTATCAATAAAGGTAGTGATACAATTGTATTTGCAAAATTAGCTGAAATTGTTTTATTGAAGAACATGGTTGTTAGCATATTCTTGACTTGGTTTTCAAATGTTCAGTTCACAACCTTGGCATTTTAGAAGATGACTGAGAGTATTATAGTTTGTTTACATCATAAAGAAAATTGAAGGAAGAGGATATCATATTTTGTTGAATTTAGGAGTATTTTCTGTGCTAAAAGATAATTCAGAATATTAGAAAATACTTCTTAATGTAAATCCAGGATTTTGAGAAAAACCGTTTTTAACGAGATGGTGATTACGGTATAGAATCAGAATACTGTAGATGCAAAAATCTACTGTTATGAAAATAGGTCTGATCCTGTGAGGTTGAGGCTACTGACAATCTGTTAACTTGCACACAGAAAGGACAACGTGAAGTTTCCGGAAAACACAGGGTGGTGTTTGCCGTAGGCACTACGACGCTCAAGTCAGCGAAGCTAAAAGAATTATTTGATAGAATTAAAAAGATGAAGAATTACCAGGATCTTGTCGGAGGCTAGGACTACGGCGGAGGCGTCGGGTTCTTGGACAAGAACTTAGAAGCAAATAGATGGTTTTGAGTTGAGTAGATTGACATCGGAGATTATATGCCTAATGAGAGGGCAAGCCTCGTTTTATAGTGAATCCAAGGGATTGGAATCCTAGTAGGACACTAGTCATCTTTGGGAGTATATCCTATCATGAAAGAATATGTTCCTTGACTTTATCAGATTAAATATGATATTTGAGTAAGTGGAATCTATAGGAACCTAAGTCCTTTTTGGGAGATATTTCCTATCATAAAAGAGAATGATTTCTTGACTTTATCAGATTAAGTTTGATAATTAGAGTAAGATTTGGAATCTTAGTAGGATGTTAAGTCCTATTTTGGGGATAATCCATATCATGAAAGAGATATATTTCTTGACTTTATCAAATTAAGTTTAATAGTTTGAGTAAGTTTTGAAATCATATAGCTAATCTATGTAGATTATGATGCTTTTAGGCACTTAAATCAATTGACAAACTAAAGTTATATTTGTTCAATGGATACTTAAACAATCCAGTTATAGAAATGAAACACAACAAGCATACAACCGATAAACTCGAAGGGATTGGTATTACGGTCAAAGATGTTTACTTCTTTTCTTGAGTTCCTAGGTTCAAACATTGAACCCATCTACTATAATATTATTGTGACTTAACTGATTCTTTAGACTTATAAAGTATTCATTAGGTTCCAGAATTTAATTGAAATATGCGCAAGATGACCTAATCACAGTGGTTATAAAAAAAAAAACAAAAAAAAGTATACAACCGATTAATTCAATCCAATCTCTTCAAATTCCATATAGAAACTTATATATTTTATTATAAAATTCCAAGGTGTTATGTTTTTGATGAAGTCTAAAAAGAATATACGAACTTTATATTCCAAAAGTATCGCCAATTGTATATCAACAGGTGTGCGATGTGCCTTTTCAGTAGATTCCTACCAACCTTCTCCAAATAGTTTTAATTCGTTAGATTCTGCCGCACCACTGAAATTATAAAGAAACAAAATGCTTGAAAAGCCGTAGAGTATAATTCAACTTCCTTTCCTTTGAAAAGTAAACGACATTGTACCACCTCAGGTTTGCCTTAATGACACTTTTCCACCCAAAAAGTTTTAAAATATTATTTTTTCACCCAAAATTTATATTTCGTTAATACTTAAAATACAATTCACTTTCTCAGCCAATGTTCGGTGAGTTACTAGAAGCCAGGGTAAAAAGGTTTTTATAAAGTAGAGACTGGTGGCAGGGGCAGATTTAGCCTAGGTTTTTTTTTTTAAATACTAATATGTACAAAAAATTAATGTATAATTAGTTTTTATTTTGGCCCACCCTAACAGAAATTTTTGGATCCGCTACTGGTTGGTGGATCTAATAGTGGTGATCGATTGAATATTCGTTGTCGAAATCAATTAAAAATTAGCTAAGAATAAGAAACCCTATCTTTGCGATGGTCAACAATCGACGAAAAATCAAATATCGAAGTGAGAGAGATTTTATAAAGAGGAGATCAGATGTTCAAACGGTAGTGATAGAGATAATTTTTACTGTAAAAATCGGTTTTAGATAATAATGAAATATTAACTTTGGATAAAAAAATAATATTTTAAAAGGTAGGAAAGCATCGTTAAGGCGTTTAGGGTTTCTTAGAATTGTAAGAGGTTATGGAAGGGATATTTAATTGTCAAATGGGTAATTATATTAAATAAAATAAGGAAAGGAAATCCCGAGGGAAAAATAAAAACACTTTCCTTCCAAACACAAATTAACACACATGCTGAGGATTCATACTCTTGAAAACACAGCTCAGACCCACTCTATTCGGTGCATCCAAAGAGAGACTGAGAGAGACAAAAACAACATTAAAGTATACATAAAGTAATGAGATTACTTGTAAAGCTAGAGTAAAAGTTGGTAATTTTATAAAGCATAAATAATACTTTTACTGTTAAGCCTTGAATTTCTGTGTGCCCAGCTGCGGTTAAAATTTTTCTCATCGTCAACTTTCAACGATCATTTTCAAGATTGTAATGCTTTGAATTGAACCACCTCTTCCTTCTCTTCTTTTCTTCTATAAGTTTCTCGTTATAACACCCACATCAACCTTCTCTCTTTCTTTCTGCAAATCTTGTTGCTCTGCTTTTTACTTAACTGTTTCGTTTTCTTCGTATAAACTTTTTCTCTCTAATTCAATCTCTCAGTTTCAGACCTCAAATGGCTGAGAATCCCACTTCAGGTGAGTCTTTCTTTTTCTATCTATACGTGTAAACTTGTGTGTTTTTCGTTCTTTGTCATTTTTCTTGTTCTGTTTCTTTCTTAAGCAAAAATGATTGACTTTCATATCTGGGTTCATTTGAGCTGGTTTTATGATTGCAAGATTGTTTCTTTATAATGATTTAATTATTTTTATCTTCTGTTTGAGATTCTTCCTGTGGTTTTATGTGTTGAATTTACTTTACCTTATAGATCTCTAGTAGCATGTTCTCGGCGTTGCTCTTTGTTATGTGAATCACATGATGCTATATTGTTGCCCATTGACTATCGTTCTCTTTCTTTAGTATCTTTATGTCAGTTTCTGCTCACAAATTACTTGGGGAATCATTGAAGATAGACTTGTTTTAGCTAGTGGGGTTATCGTAGATTTATTGTGATGTGACTCTTTTTGTATTGGTGTTTCTTAATTTTTTTGAGTAGAATCATGTTGAAAAATATATCGTTTTTGACATGTGTGATTTCGCTGAATCTTGAGCTATGAAAAAGCAGATGATTTTCACAATTGATCTAGGAATGGTGTCTGATTCAAAACATATGTTTAATTTGTTTTCCCTGAAAATTTCTTCTTTAGTATTAAGGTTTCGGAGATTTCTATGGCTTGACTGAAAACACCTTAGATCTTAATTGCAGCTATAACCCTTTCAGTTGTGATGTTACAGAGAATAGAAGGCACTGTTTAAACAATGTTACTGAAATCATTTGATTGCTACTCGAATTGATAATCAACGATTATATAATTGTTGGAGGTTCTTATATCTTCTCATGGATATGATAGCAGGGTCCGGGAACGGAAATCCGCTTGTTGTTTGCTTTGGAGAGATGTTAATTGACTTTGTCCCGACAGTTGGAGGGGTTTCACTTGCTGAAGCACCAGCTTTCAAGAAGGCTCCTGGTGGTGCTCCTGCTAATGTGGCTGTTGGGATATCAAGGCTAGGAGGTTCATCAGCCTTTGTTGGCAAGGTGTGTTAACTTCATTGTCTTGTTCCATCTTGTCACTTGGACAATTGTATGACACAACTTGGTTCTTTCTACTTGGATCGTGAACAGAGAAAATTACTTAATTGCCATTTACATGACTCTCATGTTAGAAGTCTGAGTATAACTTGTATAAACCTACTTTTTACTGGTTGGTTGCACGCCCACTTTCTCCCTTAACCCAGATTGGACCAACAAATACAGATTGTTTCTGAAGTAGGAAAATAAAATTTGAGAGTTTTGATGTTTGATATGAACCTTTTGATAACTTGTTATGAAATTTCTATTTAGAATTGTGTATCTAAAACTCATTTTTGGTTAGCGGCAAGCTTTTTGACTTGTCTATCCATTACTGATTTAGTGTTTTCATGTATCACTATGTGCAAAAATGAGATTCCAACAATGTTTTATCTATAACTTTTATGTACCTACTTTGAACCTGCTTGCATTAAGTATTACTTCTGTTACTCTTACATCTAACCAAACAGAACATGGAGATTGTGTGGAAAATGCACTTTCTGAGGTCCCTTACCCCTGTTTTCCATTGCATAAATTCAATCCTTTTTTTTCTTCTTCTTTTTTTTATTTTTTATTTTTTATTTTTATTTATTCTTTGGGTGGGGTGGGTTAATGTTGTGTACAATTTTTGGGGCAATCTCACTTAATTATAGTTTGCCATCTGTATCACAGGTAGGTGATGATGAATTTGGTTACATGTTGGCTGACATTTTGAAACAAAATAATGTTGATACCTCCGGCGTGCGATATGATTCCTCTGCAAGGACTGCACTGGCATTTATTACGCTCAGAGCTGATGGTGAGCGTGAATTTCTGTTTTTTCGTCATCCAAGTGCTGATATGCTTCTTCGTGAACCAGAACTTGATAAAAACCTGATTAAGAAGGTATTTTATCTCATTCTTTCTTTACTAAGAAATATAGCACAATTCTTATGGATTCTAGTGGGGTTTTTATGTGTTAGAGAATAATTCATTCCCAAAGTATACTTGATTGCAGGCCAGCATCTTCCACTATGGTTCTATTAGTTTGATTTCAGAACCTTGCAAATCAACTCATCTTGCTGCCATGAAAATGGCCAAAGAGTCTGGTAGCATCCTCTCTTATGATCCAAATTTGAGATTGCCACTATGGCCATCAGAAGATGCTGCTCGGGAGGGCATAATGAGTATATGGGATCAAGCAGATATCATTAAGGTATGATTTGAAATATGAGATTCAAGGCGTAAAAATGTTTTTCTGCTGCATTTGTGCAAATACAATAATAGCTCTTTCTTTTTTTGCATAAACCATGATAAAAGAATTCACTCATATATGATCCAATTCTTTTGTGGTCACCTTATGAATTGGCAGATAAGTGAAGATGAAATCACATTCTTAACTGGAGGTGACGATCATAATGACGATAATGTAGTGTTAGAGAAGCTGTTTCATCCTAATCTCAAGCTTTTGGTTGTAACTGAAGGATCAAAAGGTTGTAGATATTATACCAAGGTAAGAAGGCGCTGTCTTTTTTGTTTAATATTAGGACTTATATGTTCCATCTGAAACCTATTCTGTAACTCCTTATTCTCTTATCATATCTAGACTGTTTTTCACCAGCATTGGGTATTGACTGTAGATTTGCATTTAGTCTGGTCAGAACTAAATATAGTACCCTATAAATTCAAAGATGTGTTAGAGGTGCATGCTTTTCGATAACCCTGTGGGATCAGGATGCATAAAGTTGTACCATTTTATTTATATGATTTTTAATTAATTTATCTATATTTGACAAATTGCTGTAAACCAAAATTTTTGCAGGAATTTAGAGGTTGTGTTCCTGGTGTTAAAGCTAAATCTGTGGACACAACTGGTGCAGGTGATGCATTTGTCAGTGGGATACTTAACTGCCTGGCTTCTGATCTAAGCCTATTCAAGGTACTTATAATTTGTTTCTTGAATTAAGAGAAATCAATAAGTATTTAATATTTTTTGCTATTGCTCAAACAAAGTATTGCCTATAATATATCAGTTTGATTTCCACTAGAGCTGTATAGACATAATATCATTTTTATGTTTCATTATTCACTGTGAGTGCCATGCTCAGATGTGTATCTAGTTCATTCAACAAACTATTTCATTGATGTAGCCAATTACCTAAGCTTGAAAAAAAGATCATACTGTTTTTCTGTTGCCTTTGGAAGATGTAGAAAACTATTACAAAATATTGCCTTAAATTTTTTCAACATTTGCATCTTTTCCTACTTGTAATTGCAGTTGCTTTTTATTCCCAAAATTCACTCTATACATTACCATTGCACAGAAAACAAATAGGAAAATAGAAAATCAATCAATAATTAGCTTCAATGTCACCAAAAAGAAGATTGCAGTTTCCTTCAATAATTTTATTATTATAACAGGATGAGAAGCGGCTTAGTGAAGCTCTACTTTTTGCAAATGCCTGTGGCGCTCTCACGGTAACAGAGAGAGGCGCAATTCCTGCGCTGCCTACAAAAGAAGCTGTCCTGAAACTCTTAGAATCAGTTGCAGCATCATAAAGAAGTTGTTTGTACTTCGTTAATTTGTTGTAATTTGAGTTCCATTTGTTGAAGTAACAAAGAGCTCTTTGCTCTTTCTTTCTTTTCCCTTCCCATAAGAAAGTTACATATATGCACTAAAGTGCTGTAGATGCAAGAGTTATTATCAATAAAGGTAGTGATACAATTGTATTTGCAAAATTAGCTGAAATATTGTTTTATTGAAGAACATGGTTGTTAGCATATTCTTGACTTCAAATGGGTTTTCAAATTTCAGCAACCTTGGCATATTAGAAGATGACTGAAGAGTATTGTAGTTTGTTTACGTCATAAAGAATAATTGAAGGAAGAGGATATCATATTTTGTTGAATTTAAGAGTATTTTTCTGTTAGCTAAAAGATATATTCAGAATATTAAAAAATACTTCTTAATGAACCTTAATGTAAATCCATGATTTTGAGAAAACCCCTTTTAACGAGATGGTGATTACCGGTCTAGAATCAGAATACTAGGGCCGAACGTCCTCTAATCAAGCAATTTATCGTATAATATCCGTGCAAGTTTACAACTTCACCTCTTCTAGTTCAAGTTATTAGTAGTGGTCCATCACTCATTTTCAGCTTTATACTCTCTCTCAGGAGTTGTCAGTTAGTCTTCAACTCTGCCCATTTCAACAAACTCTCTCTATTTAACACTCACAAATAAGCAGAGTTCTAGCCTCTGTTTTTAGTCGCAATTTGATAATACAATAGACAGAAGCTCTGTGTAAGTTTCTTTCCTCTTCCTTTTTTATATTTTTAATATCAGTTTTGGATTGTTTTGTTGAAGCAGTCAAAATGTTTCGCCAGTGCATGTGATTATCAGATATTGCTTTAAGGTTTTTTTATAAGCAAAATGAGTGGTAAGATTGTGCAGCTCAAGACTTACTCAAATAGTTACTCCGCGCAAAATAAGAGCTTCGGCTTCGGTTCATTGTGGTAAGGATTGGAAAAAAAAAAAATCATTTGTAGATCACTCAAATAAATGCAGTAATTCAGATATTCTACTGTTATAGTCATATAGTAGATTAGTACACAGCCCTGCAGGTTTGGTTATAGAGAGGATACAGAGGTTAAAAAGCCTACCTTACGTGATGAACACTTTGCATTAGTGGCATATTTGACAAAACTGGTTGTTTAGTTCTTGCACAGTTTGCCATTATTGTTCAAAATCTGAATCTCTGTATCTAGGATCTTAAGATATAATGTGGACCTTTTCTTTGACAAACTATGAGTAAACGGCATATTCCCACCCAACATTTGACAAAATCTTAAATTGGTACCCTAGTTACATTTATTCCAGATCTCACCCCTAAAGTGACGAAAAAGTGTTTGATGTAACGGTAAATGGGTAAATTGGTCATTTTACATGGGCGGCACACGTTAGCAGATCACCGCCTCTAATAGTCCTCCGGCACACGCTGGCAAACGGCATCCTCGACATTTTTTGCCCTTTTTCCAGCGATTCTTCCACGCAAAATCACTCTTGTCACCACCATTTGAACCATCATCCTCCCCTCTACAAAACTTTATCCTTCACAACTCCTCATCACTTATAGATCACCAGACACGACAATCGTGACATGCGACTGATTTTTGCCGGTTTCCAACCGTTTTGAACCCAACCACCACCACCATTTGACTCCTCGCATCCTCCCCTACAAAACCCCTAACCTTCCTAGCCATGGCAACTCATCGTTTGTCATCCACCACTTCACCAAAAAACAGCCGATGAACATGAACTCTCGGTAGGTGAACAACGACTAAACGGTTGCTGGGGACATAGAGGTTTTATAGAGTTGGAGATGTTGGTTGCAGTGGTGGTGTCCAATTGAATTTTCACCACCAGAATCGATTGGATTCCCGCGAAGAATAGTGAAACCCTAAGCTTAATGGCGCCAATGATTGGAGGGGCCAATGAGTTGGGAACTAAAGGGGTTTTAGACGATGGACTACGAGGAAGGTGATGGAGGTGACCAAAGGCTTCGACACAGATCGGGCAAAAATCGAGAGGGTGTGTAGTGATCGAGGGTGTTATTGAGATGATTTGAAAATAAAATAGTAAGTTAAAATTCTACTAATTTAAGGGTTAAAATATAATTTATTAATTTAGGGTTAAGGGCATTATAGTAATTGCACCATTTATACCCTAAAAATTGCTAATAGTGTTATTTTAAGGGTAAGAATCTTGAATAAATGTAACTAGGGGTACCAACTTAGGTTTTCGTCAAACCTTGGGTGGGAATATGTTGTTTACTCAACAAACTATTAACGAGTAAATTGTGTTACATCCTATTCTGTATTTGCTTGGTATATTGTAGTGACTTCTACTATACTGAGATTTGATTTTGGTTATTTGTAGACTCATTGGACCATGATGTTTGAATAAAGATAATTCAAATCAAATGGACTCATTTGGGAACCGCAACCATGCAAGGAGGGTAACAATGTAACATATTATATCAATCACAAAAACATTCTTCTCAACGAATTTGTTCCCCTGCCACAAATCCAGACGTCAAAGTGGATATTTTCTCTCGTTTTTTTCACTATTTTATTCTACTATCCTATCCTAAAAACTCAAAAATGTATTTGTTTCAATATTCTCAAAATTCAATTCTACTTTATTCAACTCAAAACATTAACAATTACCTTTCTCGTAAAAACAACCCAACTCAACTCTAACTCAACTTTATTTTTTTCTAAAATACTATTCTAAAAAGTATCAGAATAATGCTCCAAATGGAGACATTTGCTAAGCCCTTCTAAACCTTTTGATATTCATTTATACATTTGTATTCAATGTTTTTATTGTCCAGGTAGGAAATTACATTTACTGTATGACGATAGGGTAAATGGATTAAAGAATGAGAATCTCGTTCCCATCTCTTGTTTGTTTTATAGAAGTAATATAAGGAATATGAATCTCATTCCGTGAAAAAGGTAGAGAAGCATTCCTTCCAAATTTAAGAAGATGACATTCATTATTAGTAATAGAACGTTAAAATGTCTAATTTTACCCTTTTTTTTTTAATTCTAAATTCTCATTTACCCAATTTTAAGTTAATTTCGTTAGGGGTAAATGAGAAACGCAACCATTTTGAGATGTGGAGGGAAAAAGAAGAAGATGGGAGGAGGAGGCAAAGATGAAGAAGAAATGGGAAGGAAAGAAAGAAAAGGGAGAAAAAGACCATTTTAGCCTTTAACGGTTAAAATAAAGAAAACTGTGTCCATTTAAGTGTGGGAATCTGGAATTTATGAAAATAGGGGTACCAACCTAGGATTTCACTAAAGCTTGGGTGGGAACATATCGTTTACTCTTAAAATAATTATTAAATTCAAAAAATTAATAATTTAAAAATATTTAATTTTTTTTTTCAAAAATCTAAAAAATTATAAACTGATCAAAGCTAATCAAATTTATTAACCGACAACTTTCTTCACATCACATTGTCGGCCACTGCTAGCACGTGAGGGATCTAGGCTAGTGATCTATGATCTATCGACCTGGCTGAATCTTGGCCACTGAAGAGTGTCACACGGTAACAACAACCGCACGTGATGCATCATTGATCTTAGGCGGTCAAGATTTGTTAATATAAACAAGCTTCAAAATATAATATTATTTTTTTAAACCTAATATGAAATTAATTTACTAATGCAAAACCATAATAAAAATCATTAATACTTAAAAAATTCATTCCCATGCTTCTCATTATCCATAATTGCATTCTATGAACTAAACATGACCTATGACCTATGTTCTACCATTGAAACCACTTCTCTTTTAGGTATTAGAGAGGCTCTCATTTTACTTGGAATTAATTATTTTCCATTTACTATATCAGAAGTTCATCAAATTTGGACAAGTTCAGACAATACAAAGGCAGTTTAGTTAATTCCTTCTACTTCAACGTGCATTAATTAATTATAAAATTGATCAATTACGAAATATTATGTCACATTTATAAAAAAAATTAGTAAAAAAATTTGTCACCGTAGTATTATACGGCAATTAAAAAATAGCTCAATAAGGGCAATTAATTAGGCCGTAGCTTCATCTACCTTCCACGTGCTCTCCATATGCCTCGACTCAGTCGTCAAGACTCAAGACTCAAGATCCAAAGGACTAGTTGGGCATTATTAAAAAATAAAAAAACCGTAACCGCTCTTCGAACCGGAGTTCGCACGAAATACCGGTCTTCATTAATCATTAGACATAACACGAGATATACCGCTTCACGCCTTCACCTCTCCAAATCCACTGTCCCACTCTCCCTCTCTTTGTATCTTAATATTTTATTTTTCTTTTTACACGTATTTCGCTTAACATCATAAGATAAATGCAGCGAATTATTGCAGTACAAATGAAGTAAAAAACTGTTGACTCCTATTCCTAATTTGATCACATAAATCATAAGTTCATTTCCATTTCAGATTCTAAATTTTTCAAACAATGGCGGCTTCTAATCCTTCGCTTCAACCTGAGATCGGACCTGATGGTCTCTCAAGAGAAGCTCCTGTCATCGCCTACACTGAGAAGGTCTTTCTCTACATATAATTTCTTCGTATGTTTCTTTTAATTTTTTTCTACATTTTGATCTTAATTTTGATGTGATTGTCATTTCGTATTGATTTTGTCAGATAATCGAGGAAGAACAGCATCAATTGAGGAAGTATGTTTACATTTTTGTTTAATTTAGATCGATTGCTTTTAATGTTTCTCTTTATTATTTGCTCTTATCACTTTTGTTATTGAACTATTGCAATTTTATATTGTTTTATAAATCAAATTAAGTGTTTCATACCTATATTTATTGTTTTGTTATTAGTCTAGTGTTGAAGAAATATTAAAAACCTAGACTGCAATGTACTAAAATTTAGAACTGCTTTTCGGCTTATTTATATCAGAGTTTTCTAACGTGTTAAGATTTTAACAACTGAAAAACTGATTTATATGTTTATAAACATATGGTTTTAGTAATTATAGGGTAATTAGTATTTGAGCGACAATTTAGATCTGGAGAAACATAGATAACTATTAACTAGAACTTTTGTTAGATTATTTAATTGTGTGAGGACTGAAATATCTTTTTGGAGGTGATTGGAAATTGGTAATAGTTGAAGGTGCTGTTGGTCGTGGTCATATCTGGAGTTAGCTTTAGAGCATTAAAGGTATGTAGTAATGGTGGCATTTATTGTTGCTAATTGTTGATGGGGATAGCGGTTGGGTCTAAGTTGATGGAAGTGTTAAAGTAGTCTTGGAGATGATGGTGTGATGGCTTTTATGGTAGTGATGATGCTGGTGATGCTTATAGTATGCTCAAATGATTATAAGATGGCTAGTTGCTGGTGGATGTTGCAGTGGTGCCTTATCTGTCTCAGGTGGTTAGTTGTTTTCCGTATCCTTGGCCTTTTCAGACATCGTGTGTATGTGTCTCTTGTCTCTTGTTTTATAATTACTCATACTGTTGCAAATGCACAAGAATTCAGTTTGTTCTTTGAGTTGGTGTGGTGGTTGGAAGGAAAACAATATGCAGTGAACATGTTCAGGTCTTTAAATATGTTAATCATTTTCCATTACAGATGGAACCACTATTGGGTTTTGGTTGGATGTTGCTCCAATGTCTTCCCTATTTTAATGTTGTAAAAAGTTTTGCTTGGTGATCCTCTTTTTTCTTTCTAGTGGTGATTAGTGGAAATATCTTACCTGATCTTCTCTGTTACTTGCTTTCAGATACATTGAAGAAAACTATTCTAAAATACGTGATGTTGAGAGAGAGCTAGCAAATCTTACAATGGAAATAAAACTCACTGCTGGACCTAAAAAAGCAGGTTGGCAAATTAGCATTATTTTTCTTGAAATTTGCAGGTGTTTGGTATTTGTCTTCTTTAATTTGTATGGTTGAGTTACTTTGGCATTGCTGTGATGTGTGGCACTTAACTTCAGCAATGGAACTGTTGAGAAAGAAAATAGAAATGTCAACTGAGAGAATTCATCTTGCCAAGCAGAAGGAAGAACAAGCACGAAAGGTTTGTCCCTCCTGATTAAACTCATTATTTTCTTCCCAAAACTGTAGTTTCACCCTTCAGATTTGTGATACAGCCTCTGATATTTGTATTTAACTCAATAATTATGGTTGTACTAAGATTTTAAGACTATATGCCGGATTAGTTTTTGTTTTTTCTAGATGTGTTGCAATAGAAATATTTTCTGAAACATAATCAGCTTGGCTTATATTACATTCAGCCATATCTTTCATTTTGATAGATGTATATGCAGATTTGAAAATGTCATGTTCAGAATTATTATAGAGAACAGAAACAAATCTTGATACCACAATAAAGCTTCTATGATCTAAGAAGAGGATGCATTACTTGGGTTGTGATTTTCTGGATTTTTTATTCTATTGTACTTCAGGTCTGGGAAGCAGCATCAAAGGCCGTGCAGGAAGAAGAAGCGATGAAGCAGAAGTTATGTGAAGATTTAAACTCTTTGGTATATATATCTTGCTAAGTGTGGATTCACATGTCACTACTTTTGGATTATTTTAATGCTATTATGTTCAATAGGTTCAAGAAAGCAGTAACACTCAGTTTTCTCGACTTGAGGAATTGAAAAGACGACTGGAAGCTTTGAACCCAACTAGAGCATCAATCTCTTCTCTTCAAGTAATTTTTCTTTCCATTTCTATTTACTACTTTGGTATGTCAATTGGTTGATTGGTTGATTGCTTGAAAGTCACTCTCATTGTTAACAGTCTTAGATTTTCCAACTTCTTTGCATATACGTATGTTTATAATACAAATATGATGTGTCATTCTTCAGCCAGCTATGTCAATTTGCATGTTCACAAACCCTCAAGGGTTTCACTTATTAGAAAAAATCGACTTTGTACCACCTGCTTGGGACATTGTATCTCATTAGTTTCCTGGCTACCAAGGTTGTGGGGTCAGAAAGTAGCTCTCAATTTAGAACTTGGTGAACATGTATGGAAGGTTGATAGATTTAAGGGTATCCAAAAAAAAAATGTGTATGTTTACCAGAAGATAAAAGAATGCATGTTAACTGTGACTAAGACTTTGGAGTATTTTCTTATTTTAAGTCATCATATAATTACTGCATTTGCCTTTTGTGATCTCCAAGGAGGGTGGGTATGCAGTTAACGTTGTGCAAGAAAATGTTAATTAATATAATTTGCTGTTGTTCATGTCTCTCTTTCTTTTCCCTTTAGGTCAATTTTTCTGTTATTTTTAGCGGCTGTCCTCCTTTGGATTGAACCAAAATCAATGAGATTATTAAGGAACTGAAATCAATTTGCTCAATTCATCTAATGACTTTCTTACGCAGCAACTGTTCTCATGACTTGCTCGTGTCACACTATTTTTTATGAAAGACACTCACATACACATTTAATTAGCATTGTAATAGAAAGGCTTTGAGAGTTTTGTCTTGGATTTATCTTTAGGATGGGAAACCAATGGCACCTGTACAGATTAGTACTGCTCCAGATACTTCTTCAGTCTCCTCTGCTGTGGAACCAGGTGCTGGAATCACTCAAAACGCATCATCTAATCAAGGAAACGGTGGAAATGCTCCAATTATGAATGGAAACAATCAGCAGGCTACTGTTGATGGAGAAGGAAGAGGAAAGAAGAAAACTCATTTTCCAGGAAGAGGAAAGGGAGTTGGGGCTCTGCCCAAGGGTAGAGGATCTACAGCACCTGGCTGGACAGGTGCTGGGTTTGATGTCGATGGTAGAGCGTAGAAGCATAGTGTCAAATTTTCTTTTCTATGCTGAATACATTAGGCAAGTAGACAACAGTTTTGCTCATCTACTGGGTACATTCTTTCATCCATCCTAATCTTTATTCCATCTATTTGTTAATTGATGTTTTTTCTTGTATCTTTCAATTTCCTATTGTTTGTTGATATAATAATACAATCTGACCATTCTAACTTCCTTCTGCTCTCTCTGGCTCATGATTGTTCCCAGTAGTATATTTCAAGGAAGAAATTGTCCAGAAATACATCGTTTCATTTTTACCATGTGTCCCTTATCTTTTGGTATAGAATGCTGTGACATGAATTTTTTTGGAAAATATTTCATCCAATGAAGTATCAAATATGTAACTTACAGAGGCAAGAATTAGATTTAGCCTTGGAATAATTATGTTGTTTAGTTTTTGCTGTCGTAGGATCGGTTTCTTTCCTAGAGATGTGACTCTTCAGTACCATTTGGGTTTTGGAGGAATTATAAGTTTGAAGTTTAATTTTTCTTGATGTAAAGCCCTTATAATTTTTTCAATCAAATAGTGTAGCTCTAATTGTACAACATCCCAATAGGCCTTTTGCCCTTGACTTAGTTCTTATTATTATTTTGATTTATTGTGCGCAACTTCTCTTTGAATAGTGTTAAAGATATTTCATGTTGAACATACTGTGTGTTAACTTCAATTATTTCTGAAAATACCTACAGATATATTGTTTCTGAAAATGCTAAAGACAGCCAAAGACTTAAAATTATTGAGGAATATTTTAGAGACTAGATGATTGGAAATTATTGAATAGGCTTATCCTCAGCTGGTACAATCAAACCAACTCTATGGATGTATGACCTGGTTGTACTGGTTGGTGTTTGCTAGTGTATCGTATTATTGTGTCTGTTTCTGGTTTAGACCGTTACAATTTATATATTCTTGTACCACATGAAACTTTGATTGATTTGTTGATTTCTTTATGTTGTCATTTTATGTGATTATCTCTGCGTATGGAATTTTTATCTTAGGAACATGTTGTAGAATATTTACTGTTTCAAATTCAAAATTTGAATGTTGAGTTCATTATTTTGGATCTGAACAGATGTCTAAATATGTGCAAATGATGAGAGTAATGGGCTCTTTTCAACAACTCAGAGATAGCAGGTGGGAACACTGACTAGGCATTTGTATTTCTGTAATGGTACATTAGAGTGAATGTGAGTAGCCATTGGAGTTAAATGCTCTACGGTACGGACTGTCATAGACTTGGTTAAGCTGGACTTCTTTGTAGCTGACTGCTGTACGATACAGTGATTGAAAATAATTAGTTCAGTCATTCAAACACCTAATAGATAGAATGCTGGTGACTGATAACCCATTGCAGTTTTGGGATTGGCTGTCTTCTGATTGACCTCATACTCATTAACTTGTTGAAATAATTTCATCTTGCATTTATTTGTTGTGTTTGAAACCCCTATTATGATTCAATGGGAACTATCAGACTTGACCCTTGGATCATTCATTGTCTAAGGTTTCAATAGATTACGATCCAAGGGTAGAGACTCAGAGAAGAGGGTAAAGGAGTCCCTGGCTGGCTCTCTTGTGATTTTAAAAGAACAAGTTTTTCTCTTGGGTATACAGGAGAGGTATGGACGGTGTGGACAAATCACTACACGATTTCGACAATGCATTAATGCAATAAAGACTTGGGATGAAGAGGAGGACGACGGTGTTCAGAATTGTATTGGGGTTACATAGACAAGTGGTGGGTCAAGCGTCAGTGCCATCATCTTTTCTGTTTAAGATCATTATAACTTTTGGCAGCTACCTCCTCTTATTTAAGAACAGTTCTTCACAGTAAGACCCATTACTATCCTCGACCAAGATAAATGATTTTTTTTTTTTTTTTTTTTAAACAGGTATCCGAACCGAACTGGTTTATGTGTATCTCAACTAATCTTGAGATTCATTGAATACTCTATAAACCCAAAAGACCAGATAAGTCATAATGTTATTTTGGTAGGTAATCCTAATGTTTGAATCCAGAAAATCAAGGAAATGAGTAAACCTCCTTGACTGTCAGGCTCTGTTTTAAAAATCAGACTGGGACCCGACACCTTCTCCTGTCCAATTCAGGTCTTAGGGGGATTTTTATAATACTTAAAAAATTATGAGGGTTAATTTGTAATTTTATAGGGGTGTTTTGGAGATATGTCAAAAGTTTAGGGATTGATTAAATTTTTTGGGGTATTTTTGAAATAAATAAAAATTTTAGGGACTAATTAAACTTTTTAGGGAAATTTTTGTAATATATTAAAATTTAAGGGATTAATATATAATTTTTTTAAAATAAAATTATCGCTAATGTCATCGGTCCAACCGGTTGGACCGGTTGACCTGTGACCCAGGCAGCAAAGCGAGTTGCCCTTCCATCCGGGTTTTAAAACAATGTTGTCAGGCCAACCCTGTTAAATGATCTTTTATATGAATGTAAATTAGAATTTGTAATTATTTCATACTTAACAAGAAAGAAAGTCAGATCTTTCAAATTTCAAATGAATTTAGATCAGACTCTGATTCAAATCTGGTTTCTACCTGGCAAGATTAGAATTACTAGTAGACTTAATTGCCTAAAAGATGAAAGAATCAAATAAGACTCCTAATATTAGTAGTAGGACAGGAAGTAATAATATAGGCGAGGTAGTACATTATATTTTTGTTTTGTTTTGGATGAATTATTAATATTAGGAGCGTAAGTTAGTATAGACATCATTATAAGCTTAAATATTTGGGACCACTTGGTTATACTAGTGACATGCGGAAAAGACTAGTAACGTGCTGAAAAACGAATAGAAACATTTCAACGTGGTCCCTTTTCCCTGTAAGGTGAATGGCGCAAGCCTTGATGTTTGTTTAAGTGGGATTTTATTGCGGATTTCCCAATCTTCTTCTTCCTCACATGATGATATATATCAGCATTAGTTTTCATCTTACCGATTTGTGATTGTTATGCAAATAGTTTTGCTCACTAATAGCTTATTCTCTGGACTTTGAACCTTCACTATACTTTAAAATGCCTTGCAGAATCTTCTTCCCTGTTTCGGTAATAAGTCTATTTCTCAATTATGAGCACGGGAAGTTGGCTCGGTTGTTTGCAGACAAGTGGTCGGCAAAGGCAGCATCGTTAATTTCCACTTAACGATTGCATTACTTGAATTATCTAAATGATACTCCCTCTTTCTTTTTTTCAAATTCGTTGTAAGGGTGTAGTTTTTTTCCAAATTAAATGTCCCTGCTTGTCTTGTCTGTCTCCCTTCTCCATTTTTCTTTTTATTGGTTGAGATTAATTAAAAAGATTAGGTGGGAGAGAGAAGAAATTTTTTTATTAAAAGTCGTATACACCCTTAAAACGACTTTTTAAAAAAAAAAAAAAAGAGTGAATAGTATTTTTGAAGGCTGAATAACATTTTCACTCCCAATCTATTACCAAAAGATGCTTCCCTCCCTTAGTTTTGGAAACAATTAATGTACCCTCATCTTTTTTTTTTTTTTTATATATTTCAACCGATAAAATTTAATTTTAAAAAGGGCAGTTTTGTCAATTCATAGTGTTAGATAAGTTTTGTCTCCATAATGTTATATATGTGAGATAAATTGACAAAATTACCCTTCACAATTAAGTTTTAATGTTTGAATTCAAAAAATAGAGATAATATGAGTATTTTCGTAACTAAGGGGGGTAGTATCTTTTTATGATAGATTGGGGGTCAAAATGTCATTATTTTGTATGAAGTCTATAACAACACATACATTTTTTTTTTTTTTTTTTTTTTTTTTTTGTTGGGAAATTTCAAGTGACTATACTATGTACATTTTATGGTGCGTTTGGTTCAAGGAATATTGGATTACTGGAAAGTTAGATTATCTTGAAGATTATTAGGAATCTTTAGGAAAATGCGTTTGGTTAGTTTGAATATATTAGTGGGTATGTTTTATTAATATGTTTGGTTGGGAGGAATAAATTGGTGGGTATGTTATTTAAATTACTGAACTGTCCTTTAATTAAATATTATTATTATATTATTTTTTAATATTGATTATTATTTGGATTATTATAACCCCCTTGCATTTAAAAACTTAGCAAAAACAACCCCATAATAAAAGTTTGGAAAATCAACAAAGCACCCCCACCAATCCAGCCCTTGCCGACCGCCGACAACCACTGTCGACCGTCGGCATTCGGCAACCTAATGGCGCACGGAAGGTAGGAAATGGCCTCCATGCGCCGTATGGCTATTTTCGGCCACAGATCTGGTCGGAAATGGCTAGATCATGACAGATCTAGGAGTCAACGACCAGATCAATGATGGATATGGCTGTCAACGACCATTGATCTAGCGGTCAACGACAGCTCTGTCACGATCTGGCCATTTTCGGCCAGATCTCTTGTCGAAAATGGCCATATCGGTGCACGGCAGCTATTTCTAGCCTTCCGTGCGCATTTCCAGGTGGGTGGGGGTGGTGGCTTGGGTGGGCTGCAATTTGTTTTGAATTAAAGGATAATTTTATCTAAAAAATTAATTAATTGGGGTAAAATAGTAAAAGCAACATTCATGTAAATAAATTTAAAGATAAGGGCATTATTGTTTTAAAATTTTATTAATAAGAGATATAATTGTAAAAAAAAAAAAAAATTACCTTGGTAATCTTACAATACCTAAGAAAATGGAGGTAATCAGATTACTTCCAATATTACTAACAGTAACTACTATTGGTATTTAAAGATTACAAGAATCTTATATTACTTGACAATCAAACGTGATAATCAAGTAATATAAGATGATATAACCCTAGTAATCCTACGTTACCCTCAACCAAACACCCCCTTAGATATATAAATTTACAACTCTTTCATAGAATCGGTCATGTGATACTATTACATGATTATTGTTTTATCTATTTTCTTGTCTCATTAATTTAAATGTGTGATGTCATTTCATTTTAAAAATGGCCTACCATTCTGTGATGGTAGTTGGGAGATAATGAACCAAATAGAGCAAAACATTTTGAACTATAACCCTTTGATGCCAAGATACAAGCCCAACCCCAGTTTCTGCTGAACTTATAATCCAGCTGGGTTCATGTACGAAAGCTAGATGGGTCTTATCAACCCAAGTTAGTGGGGACAATGTGCTCAAACTAGCAAACAATATTTAAATTGGTTTAAAGTTAGATGAATTAATCAATCAACTATAGTTTGTTTTAATTATAAGAGTAAGAAATGAAGGATAAATATAATACAGATGGGTCACATTGCAGATCCCCAATAAACNTAGTATCTTTTTATGATAGATTGGGGGTCAAAATGTCATTATTTTGTATGAAGTCTATAACAACACATACATTTTTTTTTTTTTTTTTTTTTTTTTTTGGTTGGGAAATTTCAAGTGACTATACTATGTACATTTTAGGGTGCGTTTGGTTCTAGGAACGTTGGATTACTGAAAAGTTAGATTACCTTGAAGATTACTGAGAATTTTTAGGAAAATGTATTTGGTTAGTTGGAATAAATTTTTGGGTATGTTTTATTAATATGTTTCGTTGGGAGGAATAAATTGGTGGGTATGTTATTTAAATTACTGAATTGTTCTCTAATTAAATATTATTATTATATTATTTTTTAATATTGATTATATTTGGATTATTATAACCCCCCTGTATTTAAAAACTTAGCAAAAACAACCTTATAATAAAAGTTTGAAAAATCAACAAAGCACCCCTACCAACCCAGCCAATGCCGACCACCAGCAACCATCGTTGGCCGCCAACATCCAACAACCTAATGGCGCACGGAAGGCAGGAAATGGCCTCTGTGCGCCGTATGGCCATTTTCGGTCAGATCTCTGGCCAGAAATGGCCATATCAGCGCACGACAACCATTTCTGGCCTTCCGTGCGCCTTTTCTGTGGCAACGACGGCAGTTGCCGGCGGCAGCAGGTGGGTGGGGGTGGTGGCTTGGGTGAGCTGCAATTTGTTTTGAATTCAAGGGTAATTTTGTCCAAAAAGTAAATTAATTGTGGTGAAAAAGTAAAAGCAACATTCATGTAAATAAATTTAAAAATAAGGACATTATTGTCCTAAAATTTTATAGAATTGTAAAAAAAAAAAAAAAAAAAAAAGATTACCTTGATAATCTTATAATACCAAAGAAAATGGAGGCAATTAGATTACTTCCAATATTACCAACAGTAACTACTATTGGCATTTGAAGATTATCAGAATCTTATATTACTTGACAATCACGTTTGGTTGTCAAGTAATATAAGATGGCATAACTTTAGTAATCCCACATTACCCCCAACCAAACCGCCCCTTAGGCATATAAATTTACAACTCTTTCATAGAATTGATCATGTAATACTATTACATGATTATTGTTTTATCTATTTTCTTGTCTCATTAATTTAAATATGTGATGTCATTTCATTTTAAAAATGGCCTACCATTCTGTGATGGTAGTTGGGAGATAATGAACCAAATAAAGCAAAACATTTTGAACTATAACCCTTTGATACCAAGATACAAGCCCAACCCCAGTTTCTGCTGAACTTATAATGCAGCTGGGTTCATGTACAAAGGCTAGATGGGTCTTATCAACCCAAGTTAGTGGGGACAATGTGCTCAAACTAGTAAACAATATTCAAATTGGTTTAAAGTTAGATGAGTTCATCAATCAACTATAGTTTGTTTTAATTATAAGAGTAAGAAATGAAGGATAAATATAATATAGATGGGTCACATTGCAGATCCCCAATAAACCACCTCGTACTTCAAACCCCACAGGGTTTGGTAATGGGAATCACATTTTAAACAGAGAGAGAGAGAGAGAGAGTGCATATGTATAAGTGTACAGTGTGTATTAGATAAAGAGATAGAAAAAGAGGTGCGTGGCTATATCGTCATCTTTTCATCTTTATGGATTTCTTTATTAGATTTCAATTCCAGTGAGAGTGAGCAGAGAGCAGAGTTGGTTTCTGGTCATGGTCTGGTAAAACTTGGGAGTGAGTGACATATCAGATAAACTTATTAAAATATCAAAGTAAATATATTACCAAACCAAACCCACAAACCACACACTTCTATTGTCCTTAATTCCCCATCAAAGTGTGGCTGATTTATGCTTCATGGATCCGCTTTTTTCGCTTCTTCACCAGCGTCCTATAAGCTTTTCAGCTTCAGCTTTAGTTTTTTCCTCAAAACTTCATTCACTCTCACTCTCTCTTATCCCTTACTAAACACTACTACCAGTATACTACTTCTTCTGTCATTTTCACTCAGACTTTCTCATTCTTGGAGTAAGCTTTTTGGACACAACCTTGTCTTGTCTTTAAAGAAGTTTTTTTTACTAGATATGGGCAAAGAATGGTATTGGGGTGGTAATAGATCCACCACCAACTCCAAGAGAGGAGTTGCAGAGAAAGATACTTCTACTTCTGCTGCTACTCCTTCAGGTTGCATGAGTGCCGTGTTTCAGTTCTTTGATTTCCACCATTTTCAGTTTCCTTTGCACCAACACCAACCTGCTTTCAAGCCTGACTCTTTCATTCCTGAAGACCACACTATTCTCAAAGGTTCTTTCTTTTGCTCTCTCAAACACATTCAAGTGACATATTTTTTTTTTTTAATTTTGAGTATTGCTGATGAATTTCTATTCTTTTATTTGTGTGTGTAATTCAGGAGTAGAGGCACCGAGGAATAGCTTGGAATTAGAGGAGCCTCCATTGTCATCAACCAGCTGCTTTAAAGAAGAAGAAAATTTAAACATCTCAGTAAGTTGATATGGTATTTTATTTCCAGGTCTTTTTGGGTTTCTAGCTACCTTTTTTTTTTCATTTTTAGTATTTCAAAGATTCTTTTTATTTTGAAAAGTGAGTAATGATGATGATAATGATATACTATGTTTTAACACTAATCTTCATTTTTGAAAATCTAGATGGGTATTCAAATCAAAACAAGGAAAGGAGACACAAGATCAAAAGTTGGATCAGCTCCAACTGATTCTTCTTCAGAAATTAGCTCTTCTCCTGGTGCGAAGACTCCCAATTTAGTAGCCAGACTGATGGGCCTCGATCTTCTTCCAGATAGCCATTCACCCTCTTCAACATCGTTTCATGGAACACCAAATCTTCTGGCCAAGTCAAATTTGCATCGACCCAGACAACCCCCCCAAAACAAGCCAACTACCTGCCACAGAAATTCTATAGATGGTCATATTACAGGCACTCGTTCTTTGCCTGAGACACCAAGAATATCTTCAGCCAGAAGATCAGACGTGGACCACCACCGTCTTTCACTTCAAATCAACAAAGAGAACATGGGTGTGGGCGAAGAGTTTGACTTCTCTCGTTTCTCTTATTTAAGGAGAAAAGAACTCAAACAAGAAGATGAATACAGAAGCCCGAGTCATTATGCAAGGCAAATAGTGAAGCAAGTTAAAGAAAGTGTTAGCAGGAAAGTTGGACTTGACATAACAAACACTCTAAAGAACAGGGAACAAGCAAGAGATGAACTTGTTAGTAAAATAAAGGCCAAGAAAATAAGTTCCAGAGCGGCTTTAGCCATCGTTGATCAGTCCAGTCCAGGCAACCACCCAACACCTTCTTGCTCACCAAGGCTTAGTAGATTCTTGGAATCCAAACAGAAACCAACCACACCATCCTCCATTCTAAAAGACCACAACCACATTCCACATCAGCCACGAAAGCAATCTTGTGCACCCTCCTCACAAACAAATAATAATAATCAGCCACAACCCATCAAAGTTTTGTTATCAAAGCCCAAGCTACAACCAGTGCAAGAGCAGCAGAATGAGCAAAGACCCGCAAAGAAATGCAAGAAAGCTCCGAGTGAAAGGTTCAGTCCCCGGCTCAGAAAGCCTCCTCAAACTTCGGACATTATTCGAAACAAGCAAGAAGAACCATTTGTTCGTCCCTCCACAGCCAATAGAGCCAATAATCCTGACAAGAAATGCAAAAAAACTCCATTGTCGAATGAACTCCTCAATATCACCGTCCCTACTCTTCTTCCAGTCAAGAAAGATCCTTCTCCTCCAGCAACCAAAATACCTCAAAAACAGGTATTTTATTTATTTATTTCAAAATTAAATATTAGACCAGTTTTTATATTTATGTTAATAGATTTTCAAGAAAAGTAATATTATAAATAAATAATATCAAACACGTAAGTCATCATAGTAAATGTTTCATAGATAAAGTTGAAATATTATGTGATTTTTTATATAATAATTTAGATGAAAATGTTACTGTGACTTTATAGGTGAATTTTACACTAATGTGAAATAAATTTTGTATAAATGTTATCAGTGATTTTGTACGAGTGACTGAGTGCGTATCTATGTTACTGTTGAGAAAATGCATGGTTATTTTCATTTTTGTGGGCACGTTGTAGGTATTAAATGCTCAAAGCTCGAAACGGAGCTCACAGTTATCTAATAATTCGAGCCAGACGTACAAACAAGAAGCGACGCATAGGCTCATTGCCCGAGACACCATCGACGACAGAGCTAACAGTGTCACCAACACCACCGTGGGAGGAGCATCAGAATATGAATACGAGTACATTACTAGAATACTAAAACGTACAGGCATTGACAAACATACCCCAGTGTCCTTCATTCATTGGTTCTCTCCTTCTCATCCTTTAAACCCTTCTATTTTTCACCACCTCGAAAATAATGTCAACACCCACCATCATCATCATCAATCTCTATTATCTCATCAATGTAACCGCAAGTTACTGTTTTATTTAGCAGATGAAATTCTTGTTGATATATTGAAGCCTTTTATCAACATGAAGCCATGGATTACATCACATGATAATGGAAGTCACAACATGCACATGCAAGGTTCAGAGTTAATTGAAAAGTTGTGTTTGCAAATCAAAAGTTTTCCATGTGCAGATTGTCGTGTTCTTGAAGACATTGACTCAATAATAGAAAAAGATTTGCCACAAATGAAGGAACTGAATGGTTTAGCTTTTGAAGAGGAAGGGGAAGGGTTGGTGATGGAAATAGAGAAGGACATATTAGACACACTCATACAAGAAACGGCAGTGGAGTTTGGAATAATAAGGAGTTGAAGAAGTGAAAAACGGTGCGTTTTTTTGGTGAATACGTCAGAGAGAGAAATGGGGAGACAGGAAGCAGAGGGGTCACATGGGTTATTCACGTGATGGGATGCTAATCGTCGGGGGGTTTGACACTTTGATGGGGTCAAGCTGTTTGGGACTTGTAGGTTTTACAAAATTGAAGATAACGACTGTTACTCCGACAACACTTGCTTTCTCATTCCTTCTTAAAAGACAAAATTTGCAGAGGAATCCATTTCCTCCCTCTCTCTCTCTCTCTCTCTCTCTCTCTCTCTTTCTCTCCACCTTTGTATATTTATGGTTATGGACTACTCTTAACAAGTTTCAAAAAGTAACTGCTTTCTTTTCTCTGTAATTACTGTTGCTAAATTGCCATTATTGTCTGTTATGTATTTCTAATACAAGTAAATTATTCCCTTCATTGGTCTTTTTGTTTTTTGTTTAGAAACTTAAGAGTGATTATGAAGAATGGACGAGGCTAAAGATTAGACATTAATTAAAAGACGCAATGGGCGATTCAATCTATAAAAAAAAAAAAAAAAATCTTCAAAAAGATGAGAAAAGGTGATATTCACTTTTGGATACATATATAATTAAGATAGTTAGAGTTAGGTAGGAGGAGAACCAAGTAGATTTGATTCGTATTTTATGGTAGTTTGAGCTTGTAAAGTAAAGTAGTAAAAAGACAATGAATAGTTAATTAAAGATGGTTTGCATGGACCCGAGACATTTTACATTTACGTGCATTTTAAAGCCAAATCCTAATGCAGACAAGATGCTCCAAGTCAAATTTTTTGCATCAAATGTACAGAAAAAGCGATCTCCTGAATCGACTTTACTGCTCCTACTCTTAGCTTCCTATCCATTTTACTATTTGAATTTTAATATTAGATTAGGTTAGCTTTATAGCTCCTCTATATAATGCCAATAAATTTAGCATTCATAATGTTAATTTGAAGAGAAAAAGATAAATGCATCAATTTGAAATCTATATAAACAAATTAACTTTAATGTATTGTTAATTTAAAGTTTGCATGACCACTTTTTTTTTTATATATATTAAATTACACGTTGCCATGCAAAACTGTCAGTAATTATCAGGACACGTACCCTCTGGTCCCCTTGAATAAATATGCCAAAATGTAGGGGCATAAATGCAAGGAAGGATTCCCATAAATTTCGAAACCAATTTATGTATAGTGATTATAATCCAGGCCCGCCATTGATATAGTTGTCAGTGCCTCAGTGGAGAAGAAGAAGAAGAAGAAGAAGCAGAAGAAGCAGAGAAGAGAATAAATTGAATAAGAGAGAGAGAGAGAGAGAGAGAGAGAGAATTGCTAGGTTGTGCTATGGTGTATGTCATCATGAGACTTTCATCAATTCAAAGTTGACTCTTAAAATTTTTACTGTTTTTTTTTTTTTTTCATGCTTTCATGATTGTATATGATGAACCTGTACCTGTACATGTTGACCTAATACTAGTAATAAGGAATTTAAAATATGTTTGGAAGTGTTTTTGATGGTCATTAAGATCGTCTTTAAATTAAATTAGTACAATTACTTTAATTAGACAGTTTAGAGATTAAAAAAAAAGGTATTTCATATGGTTTTTAAGAGAAACACTTATATATCTTATAAAACGTTAATTCTTCGATGCATGCTTCTCTTTTAATTAAGAAAATGCCTAATAATATTTTAAGGGTTAAACAACATTTGAAATTTTGCTCTCCACAAAGTACTTTCTATTCAAATAGAGATCTCACTTTAATTTAAAAACACTATCTTAATTTACTTATTTACTCACTTCATATCTGTACTTAAAAGAAAAAAAAAATGTCTCTTAACTATTTTTGGGTGACTGGGTGGTTTGATATAGATTTTTTGATGCATTACTCAAGAGCTCATGAGTTTAAATCCCTCCTCGGTTGTTAATAGAAGTAGTCACTGCAGTTCTTACATAGTTAGTATTTCAGGATTCCGATAGATTAGTTGAAGTACGCATAAACTGATTCAAACACTCTCTGTCGTAAAAAAAAATGTCTCTTCACTGCACTTCACCAGACCCTAATTTAAAGCTCATAAATCTTGATATTATGCAATGTGCAGTCAAAAAATAGAGCAAGACATTACCAACCATTCTAACCCTCATAAATTTAATTTCTTGCAATAATAGAAGGGACCCATCTTTTATTTCTATTCTTTTTTTTGGACTTTTTCCATTACCATTTATTCAGAGAATAATAGAGGTAGGTTTAGTCAATAACTATATATACACATAATATAAAAATAAAAATATTACTATTACTATTACTATTACTATTACAATTTCCATCAGAATCCTCACAGTCACAGTCACTGACCACAGTACTGACCAAATTCATCATATTTTTCATTCAATTCTCTAACAGTATCAGCAGGAACTAATCTAATGCCTTCAAATTTGTTAACCTCAAATAACCACGTACATTCATACAGTTATGTTTTAAATACCTTGCCTATAACATGGCGGGAAAATTCAAATGTAAATGAAAGTAGGTCGGGTCCAAAGAGGCAATTAATGGCTGTCACTGTAAATAATATTTATGATGAAGAACGGGGAAGCCTATAGAGATGGGATTGACTCAGTATTAAATGATTTTGGTGATCGAGAGCTAATTGAAGTAAGATGAATTTTGTAAGAGCTTTTAGATCTGTTGCTGTTGATTGGTTTTTTTCCTGGTTATGTGATCTAAGTTTTCTGAAATTTTGTACCATTTCATTACCATTCTCAGGGGAATCAGATAGATGCTGTATTTAATGAATGTTTTAGGATTGATGGCAATAATTAAAGCCATTAAATAAGGGAAGTTGCCTCATTAATTCTTAATTAACAAGTAGTATGCAGTTAATTTTGGGTCAAGTACAAATCTCTCATAAAATTTCTTCGAAAATTTTACAGAAGAAAAACCAAAAACAAAATTATGAGTAATAATATTTCATTGAAAAAGGCAAAATTTTCATTGATCTTTACTATATTATTTGCTTACGTATAAACAAAAGAAAAATTCTTTAGAGTGGTCTTCTTAAATTTTATAAGTTGTCAGAAGGATGGAGGTAAAGAGCAAAAACTAGGATAAGGGAGTTGGGTTAAGTTGTGTATTTTAAACAAATTTGAGATTCAGTTTTTGCACGGAAATTCGGAGATTCTCCCCACAAGGCTACCTACATCAATATTCCTGACTAACACTCTATCTGAGAGAGAGAGAGAGAGAGAGAGAGAGAGAGAGAGAGAGAGATTATAACGTCTATATAATTTGAAATTCAAAGTGATGATCCAGTTCATGGGGACCTCTCTCTCTGTTAATAATATTTAAATATCTAAGACTGAGTGCATAGCATATGATAATAAAATGCATACATCATCAGGTATTGTTTACTCTACATATTTTAATTATAAAAGATATTGTTAATAGTATACTGTGATTTTGTTCTTAATTGAAAAAAACCTGACAATTCAAGTGAGAGGAGCGTCTGTTTAGGCTTGTTTTGCAGGCTGGGGACATATATCATATATGCCACCACTTGTCTTAACTCTTAACCTTTGTGTATTCATTTGTTCAGCTTTCACTCACCATACCAGCAAATTAAATAAAAATATTTAAACTTAGGGAGAACAACATTTTCCCACCCAAGGTTTGGTAAAATGACACTTTTCCACCCTTCGTCAAATTCTGTTATGTTTTCTATTAATATTTGATTGAAAAGACGAAAATACCCTTAAATATTTGATTTTATAATTTTTTTTGAATTAGCCAAAAAGTAAGATATTATATCATATATGCCACCACTTGTCTTAACTCTTAACCTTTGTGTATTCATTTGTTCAGCTTTCACTCACCATACCAGCAAATTAAAAAAAAATATTTAAACTTAGGGAGAACGACATTTTCCCACCCAAGGTTTGGTAAAATGACACTTTCCCACCCTTCGTCAAATTCTGTTATGTTTTCTATTAATATTTGATTGAAAAGATGAAAATACCCTTAAATATTTGACTTTATAATTTTTTTTTCTTTTTGAATTAGCAAAAAAGTAAGATATTAAAAAGTCAAAAAAGAAAAAATAGTTAACCCAAATTAAAAAATTAAAAGTAATGCTATAAAATTGTTTAAAGTTAACCTTAATATTTATTTATTTATAATGTCATAAATATCTCATCACTATTATTCAATAATCTACTAATATAATGTTTTTCATTTTTACTAATTAATATAGAAAATCTTAATAATTAATATTCCTAATTAATTAAATAAACAAAGGAAAAAAAAAGTATCTTTACACTTGAGTAAAGACTTTCACTTAACTAAATTTTAATTTATAATAAACTATTTAAGGGTATTTTTGTCTTTTAGTCAAATATTAATAGAAAATACTAACAGAACTTGACAAAGGGTGGGAAAGTGTCATTTTGAAACTTGATGGATGGGAAAGTGTCGTTTCGCCAAACCTTGGGTGGAAATATGTCGTTCTCCCTTAAACTTAATTGACATTTATACATTTGTTAGGTGATTAAAGAATAATCTACTTATCAATTTTATGTATAAAGTTTATTTCATTTAATTATTTTTGGATGATCGAGTGGTTCGATAAGAACTCTTAGGTATATTATTCAAGAGATCTTAAGTTTAAATTTCTCTTCGGTTGCTTATAGGGTTAGCTATTGAAATTCTTACTTGACCAGAAATTCTAAGGTCTCAAAAATTAGTTGAGGTGCGCGTAAATTAGCTCGGACACCATGGTCATATATCATTTTCTTATATTCCTTGGGAATAGAGCAATTTATTTCTTATAAATACCAAACACTAAGAAATTATTTTCAAACAATGAATCATTTGATGATGGGCTTACAAAATTTCAAAAATAAAGTTTGATATTCTATTATATAATAGTAATTGGTCATAATGATAATACGACAATCGTTCGGTTCTGTTCTGAGTGTCTGAAGTCTGAGTAAGGTTTCCAGGATTGCAATTATATTTCGTCTGTCTTTCAGTCCAGTGATAAGTCCTGTCCACAATTAACTATTTAACTCCAGGTCCATACCGCTTCCTGCTCATGCCAGGCCCAATGAAACTGGGATTTGATATTATATTCACAACTATACTTTAAGGTAATTATTTAGAACTAATTTTCATTTGACTTAGCTACTGAAAAATAAAACCCTTTTTTCCAAAAGCATTTTTCTGTTTTTATTTATTTTATAAAATGTTTTTTATTAGAAAAACTAAATCCCTTTACGGGGACAATGAAAGATGCGTATTGCTTTTAGAAGAAGCATTCCCACAAAGTTTAGAAGTGCTTCTGCAAAAGACTACCATGTGATTTTGCTCAGATCAGAAGCATTTGAAAATGCTAAGCAAGATTAAAGAAAAGGAAGCAGCTATATTTAATTATTTACAAATTAAAAAAAATAAAAAGTGAGGCGTTACAGGCATATAACATTGTGTACAATACATTGTTCAAAAATACATGTGTTAATTATAAATGTAAGTAGATTGTTACAGTGAAATCTGCTTTTGCATTAATGTTTGAAACACTTTCAACACTAGAATTATGAATACATCTGACAAGAAGCAAAAGATGGACAGGGCTATAATGCATTACCTGTGGTTTATTGGATGACCATACATACCACAATAATTCGGAAGGGCAATTGAAAGGATTAATGGGGCTTTGTTACAATTCACGTACATCTCGACAGTAGGCGTCCAGAGAGAGGATCACATTCACATGCACCGAATTTCTGGCTAAAGGAAACGTATTTCAGTTGGTCCGATGAACAATTCAGTCTCTATTTCTGAACTCTGGGAGCTTTGGCTCTTATGGGTTACACCTTTCTGTTGAGTTGATGCCTGCCATGGCTTTGCACATTAAAAGTATTAACTGTTAAACATGGTACTTATACTGCCTCCAAGCAATATCAGTCATTATTTACCCTAAATAACTAACTTGAAGCCTCAATAAATGACCTCACTACTCTTACAAGCTACTCAAACGTTCATCATAAAAAGGCAACTAATAAATGTTAGAACTTGGTAATCTCAGTAGAAAGAGTCTTTTCATATCCCTAGTGTTTTAGACCACCAAACTTATTTGTGTTAATCAACTAGACTTAACCATAAAAGCTCAATCAACTAAAACAATACCTTAAGATTCACCTTTGAACTTAACCTTGCATTCTCTTCCAACAAGAGTTTCTCCTGTAGTTCAATGAAAGCAAAAAGTGCATAAATACACATTGAAATGCTAATAAAGCAGTGTACAATACAGAACTTGTTACCTTTGCTTTAAGTTGCTCTATCTGCTCCTTAAACAGCAGAGCCTGAAACAAAAGTTTCATTGCTAGGTTATTAGCTTTCAATCGACAATTTTCCAACAACTAGTATTTGGCCACTGAGACATAATAAAAGTTTTATGGAAGAAATCCATGTATTAGCTGAGGCCATTAATTACCTTTTTTGCTCGAATGCTGCGCAATCTTCTTTCCAGCTGATCGTCAATGTCTTGGAGTTCCTCAACTCTACATGAACCCAAATCTTGCCCTAAAAGCTTCCTGAGGCACCAATATATTTCGAACTTCAGAAAAATCTACTACTTCAATGAAGAATTTATGTAGCAACTACTATGTAGATTGAAGGGCAAGTATCAGTTTAGCTATGAACCGTTGAGAAACTTCAATATGCTCAATCTCCTTCACCATCTTTGCTATATCAAGCTGCACCTGCTGCATGTGGAAAATTGTTGCAACAATAACCCTTAAAACGGATGTGATTAATTATAAGGTTTTACAAGCTTTATATTAGTTCAACGCTTAAAGCAAGCTGTCTAATGAATGAAAAAGATGATGAGACAACAATTTTTTTTTCCCTTTTCGCCGCACCAAGAGCATTGTTTTAAATCATATCAGTTGATTTCTGGAGAATGCATCCTTCAAATTATTCAAATGGACATCAGAAAGCTACACCATTTGAATATTCAGAATGAACATAATTAGAAAAACTTGTGGATTTCATAGCTAGCTTCTATATTCCTCTAATTTATCAAAGCATAGTTACATGTGAAAATTATCATGCACATATTTTCAGTATTGACATAATGTTCAAGAATAGGAATGTGTACGTGCAGATGCTGATAAGTGACTTAATCTAGTGCAAATGATATTATAATTAGATGTTCCACATTTTTTTGATGGTCTAATTATCGATTTTATCTGTTACTCCTAAATACTAATAATCTTGATTTTGATATCATAAGAATTTTGACAGTACTATGAGTCCAATTTATTTTTCTAATAAATAATATTTATAGCACTACACTCCATTTATTTCCACTTGTATTATAATGAGATGTGAAATATAGAGAATATCAGTAGAATTTGATGAGTAAAATTCTACTAATGTTGCAATACGATTTATCAAATGTATATCCAAGATCATTGCCAATATAATCAAGAGCTCTCTTCCGGGTTTCATTGACCCCGCCCAAGCCGCTTTTGTGAAAGAAAGAAAAATAGGGGACAACATCTTATTATGTCAAGAGTTGGTTCGCAATTATGAGAGAGATTCAACTAAAGGCAAAAGGTGTACCTTAAAAGTTGATTTAATGAAAGCCTATGATTTGGTGAATTGGGACTTCATTTTAGAGATCCTCAAAAGGTATAGTTTTCCCTCAAAACTTGTTCATTGGATTGAGATGTGTATCAAAACTCCTAAGTTCTCTATTGTTATTAATGGTGAACTATGGGGTTCTTTTGGGAGTTCTAGAGGTTTGAGACAAGGGAGCCCTATTTCCCCTTATCTTTTTGTGATTGTGATGGCAGTGTTCTCTTGCATTCTTGGTAAGATGGCTATGAACCCTAACTTCAAGTTCCATCCTAGGTGTAGTTTGGAGAATACCACTCACCTTTGCTTTGCCCATGACCTTATGATTTTTAGTCATGCAGATGTGACCTCTATTGGGATGATTGAGCATGCTTTGGGTAAGTTCAAGGAGTGGGCGGGTTTGGAGGCTAACAATTTCTATTGTTTGAGTATCTCCAAAGAAGAAAAAGAAGACTTTTTGAGGATTATAAAGTTTAGAGAAAGGAAGCTTCCAATTCAATATTTGGGAGTTCCTCATGCCATTGCAAACCACTTATCGACAAGATCCTTGCTAGAATTAACTCTTGGAGAAGTAGATTCTTATCTTATGCGATAGAGTTGTTCTTATCAAGTCCATTTTATAGAGTATTCAAGTCTATTGGTCTTCCATTTTTATTCTTCCTTCTAAGGTCCATAAGAAGATCGAGGCTTCTTCAAAGGCTTTTCTTTGGTCCGGATCGGAAATGAAAACGACTAAAGCCAAGATTGTTTGGGAGAAGGAGTGTGTTCCTGAGGAAGAGGGAGGTCTTGACATCATGAGAACAAAAGAGTGGAATAAGGTGGTCATGATGCATCACTCATGGAATCTCTCCCTTGTTAGTTATTTTTCGAGTTGGGCTTCGTGGGTCAAGACTTATCTTATCAAGAATAGAATCATTTGGATAATCCCTATCCCTCATGATTGTTCTTGGACTTGGAAAAACATTTTGAAGCTTGGGGAAATGGCAAGGTTGATGATTAGATTTGAAGTTGGCAATGGAGTGCATATTCATCTTTGGCATGATAATTGGCATCCTCTTGGCCCTCTTAGTCTTAAATATGGGGCTAGGATTATTTATAACTCGGGCCTCCCCCAAGATGTCAAGGTTAGTGAGATTTGTGCGAGAGGGGAGTGGAAATGGCCAGTTGCAAATTCTTATGCTTCAATGGAAATAAAAAAAAAAAAAAATTCTGAATTTTAATCCCTCTATGAGAGGGGATAAAATTATATGGGTACCTTCTATGGCTAGTGGTTTTTCAATCAAGTAGGCTTGGAATGAAATGAGATTAAGGAAAAGTAAAGTGAAATGGCACCACCTTGTGTGGTTTAGGAAATCAATTTGGATGGCTATTAAAGGAAAGCTCAGCACCAAAGAAAAATTGATGAGGTATTGTATTACTCAAAATGCATATTGTTGTTTTTGTAAATCAGCCCAAGAATTTTGGATCATCTTTTCTTTGCATGTGCTTTTCACAAAGTCCATTTGGTGTTGTGTTCTTGTGGTCTCCTCTCTTGGTTATAGGGAGGTGCCTTGGCATGACTATGTTAATTCACTATCCATGAATTGGAAGAGAAACAAACTCAAGTATGCCATAGTTAAATTATGCTTAAGTGTTATGGTCGATTTCATTTGGAAGGAAAGGAACAGTAGATTTTTTAAAGGGGATTTTATGGATGCTTGGACAATTCACAACCACATTCGGAACATGGTGAGAGATAGGCTATGGACCTCAACAAAATGAAATCTTCCATGGCCAATAAAAGACTTGCGGAGATTTAGGGATTACCTATGACTATCTTCAAAACCAACATGTGACGAACATGGGTTTTCCTAACCCAAGGCTTGTCCAAAGGTAGGAATGAGGTTGTGTATTGTTGTTTTTTGTCTTGTTTATGTTTTTTTTAATCGTATCCTAGGACATGTCATGTGGTAGGATGTCTTTGTCTTTGTGTTCCTTTGCTTGCTCCTCTCCTTTTATCTGCTATCATTTGCGTGCTTAAGATAGACAAACAAGAGAAGATTAAATTCTCAGTCTATCAGGCTTGTGTTTTTGTTCTTATCCCAAAGTCTATCCTGAGGTAGGATGGTCAGTTTTTATGGCCCCTCTGTACATTCTTTCTCTCTTTTAATGATACTACTTACCAATATATAAATATAGTGTACATTAGAATCCAATGTTTTCATTTCCAGAAGTTGAATTTCTTTTATAACAGAAATTTAAGTTTTATCTTCACTTGAATTTATTCTTACAAATCCAAAGAAAAAATTACAGGTGCACATAATTTTCTCCACAAACAAGATTGTGTACTTTGATAAAATTTGGATTCTAAAGAGGCATGTGATAAGCAAAGAGTACCAGAGACATAAAAAGCATCCTCAACAATCCAACCTAAAAAATGACTAGCATAGTTTGCCATGCCTAAACAACTTGATCGAGCAAGGACATGATCACAAAATTGAAGCCACCCTATTATATCATTTAGCAACACTTTAGACAGGGTAAAGAAAGATGCTGCAAATCATATCCCAAATTCCAACAACCCAAACTGAGACTGCGGAAAGCATTTTTCATTATGTGATTTCAGGACCTTTCTTGGTCAACAAGCTGAATGAAAGTTACAGAGAATTAGTGTACATTGTTCTATCCCCTCGTTAAGAAACTCTAATATTACCCCTAAAAAGAAAATGCAAGAGATTCTGACTACTGCTTTTCCATCAAAGTATTATTTTCAGGAAGAACTATTTTGCATGTCTTATTTATAATACACAAACAACACACAATTCTGCTTAAAGACATCACAAAGGAATTTACTTAATCAAAGATGAATTTCTAACCTGTATGTATTCTTCCGTTTCAGGCTTATTAGCTAGCACTTCTTTTGTGTGTTTGAAGTATCGATCTATTGTCTTTTGCATCCTGAAGCATTCAAAACCAAAATTTCATCAACACATACATTTAAAAAAATTTCTAACGAATAACATAACCAGAATGCGAGTAAACTTAATTGGTCACTTTTTTAGTTAATATACTAAACATAATTTGAGATGCTTCTGTGTTCTCATATGAAAAGGCTAAAAGAACCCTCCTTTGGATCTGTAAAATGGACTATTTTTTACCATTCTGGCTATTATTAAGTGCTGCATTTAAATACAGTTTCAGTTAACTAAATTACATGTCAAGTAGCTAGTCTCACAGCTAGGGGAAAGATAAACATTGCTCTTTTGCCCTTTCATCAACCAAATTCACGGACAAGACTTGAATCTAATTTCCTTTAGGGACTCCATTTTTATGATCAACTAGCCTCTACAAACCACAAGTACAATAGCATATAATCTTAATGTATATTTCTCCCTAATTAGCTTTAGAATAATGAAAAATATATGTAAAAACAACATATAGAATATTCATCTACTGTTGGATTAAAAAGCTTCACTTTTTTCTTTCTCTTTTTAAAATTTTGAGCTAATTTTCCAAAAAATATTTTTAAAAGCACTCAAACAAGTCTCAATAGGGGTAAGTTGAATTTTTAAGTTCATAGTTTGCTCCCACAGGGTCTGGCATTTAAATCCCCTTATAGGCACCTACATGATCAAAGGCTTCCATTTATGGGCAACTACATGACCAAAGGCCTCCACTAATGGGCACCTACTTGGTTAAATGTTATTGTTTCATTTTTCCCAAAAATCATAAGGTTCGACAAAGACTCTAGTTTTGAATTTGCTAAAAAAGCACTTTCTTATCTTCAAAGGGTTCCTCTTCTCAACTATTGGCTTCCCTTGTCTTAAAAGAGCTCCTCATTCCCTTATCGGAGATTATAAAATTCAAACAGAGACTTCAGGTTTAAATTAGCTAAAATAAGCACTCCAACTAATTAAATTTATCTTAAATTCATTTATATTCCTTATCTTAAAAGGGTTCAACATTGACTCCAATTTGAACTCGCTAAAAAAAAACTCCAACCAATTAAATAACCATTTATATCCCTTATCTTAAAAGGATTTGGTTGGAGTCTAGTTTCAAACTTGTTAAAAAAACACCATTAGCTTAAAAAACACTCCAACCAAATAAATTTTCTTAAAATTATTTATGAGATACTATGAATTCAATATTCGACTTTATGTTTTGACACCCTTTGTAAACCATTCATCTTTTTGTTGATCCCAATAGTGATAAAATAACGTTCAAGGTCACCAACTCAACACTCTCTTATCATTGTTGGATCAACAAAGATGAACAGTTCACATGTATCACAAAATTTAAGTCACATTATCTTGATCCTTTATCCAAATCATAAACTAAACTAACCCTTAACAACATTAAATGAGAGCTTCTATAACTTACTAAAAGGACTATAACATTGAAATTTCCTCTTTGAAAATATGGAAATTAAAGACAAATTAATGAGAAACTCTCCTCGCCAAGTTGTAACCCCAAAGAGCAAAAATTGCATATCAAACCCAGCTGAAGGTTCCATGTAACACTAAGGATGGGCATCCCTTAAATGTTTTTGTTGATTCAACACAAGCTTTATGTCATGCATGCTAAACTTTCTCTTGAAAAAGGCTGTGCAATATGAGAAATTTTTTTTTTTTTTTTTTTTTAAATACTGACTCGCCAAATATCAAAAATTTTGCAGGGGCTCAACTAAGACACAAGACGAAGGGATGGTAGTTGTTCAATCTACTATAAGGCCTACAGTTTTCCAGAGTTCTCATACAAGTTTTATCCACACAACTTGCAATAAGATCCAAACAGCGACTTGAATGAATTAAGTGACTAGATGTTTGCTTGCATCAATTTAAAAAATGCAGCACCAATACATTCTAACATTGAGAGAGATGCAGAAGCACTTAGATTGCCCTTAAACCTTTCTACTTTATGTTCGTACATCATAGCTATGAATGTGCTGATAGTGTTATGATTAAAACATGAAATACATTATTATTTTGAAATGAAGGAAGATATACATTTTGGAGAAGTCTAGCATGTAAAGGTTACTATTTGCAGGATACACATGTCGGAATCTAGCATAATACCAAGAATCCATATTAATTACTATATAGGCAAACAGTTTAAATTTCAACACATGAGGTTGGCATCTAAAAGGTTCTCTAGTATCTAGGCATTGTCAATACATTAGCCTAGTAAATATCATGTGGTAACCATAAGTAGTAAAGAAAACTAGAAGATTCTTAGTATACGAAAAGTGAAGAAGATACACTCAATGGCCATATGAAGCTGACTTCAAAGACAGGGAAATGGGTATGTGCAGTTATATATAAGGACAGAGAGCAAATAAGCTAACCAATAATATAATTAACTTACTCTACATTTTTAATTGTTCCAACCAAGACAAAAAACATGGTGGTGCAAATGTAAAAGTTATTAATAAGCAAAAATCTCAAAGAATGGAATAAGTCCTCTCCAATTGAATCAAGAGTTTAAATGTTGCATTTAAATCTTATATTTTCTGGGAAAACAAAGTACGATATACTTCTTTTGTAGAACAGTTTCCTTTGTGTCTCTACAGCTCCCATAAAAGACAATGTAAAAACTTAATTGAGCTTAATCAGAAAAACTAAATCATCTAAAAGATGTACGATCAAGATGTGCGCTAGTTTTATGTTAGCAGACAAGAAGGTACCATGTTCAGCTATTCAAATATCTTATTCATTACTGTTAAGGTATTTTTTTTTTTCTTTTGTTAAGTTTCCTTTTCTTGTTTCAATGCAGCTAATTTACTGTTTGGCTATATATTTAGAGGTATATCATGAATTTTGATTGAAGTGAAGAAACATAATTTAAGGAAACGTTGATTTGTGATTGAAGTGATGAAACATAATTATGTGGAAACTTGGATCAAAGCTCTAATAGGAACAAGTCTGGTTTTGATTAGTAAGTGCAAATTAAAATCCACAAAAATTTTAGATTTAAACTCTGACAGGTAAAGTAAAGAAACTAAAAAACGAAAAAAGAAAATCACCAATATGAAATTTTTTTTAACCGGAAACCTTCCATAAACTTTGGTACTACATAAATATTTTGATTTGGCCAGAACCTAAAATGAAGTTAGGACACCAAATTTCTTCAAATCCCATTTACTAAGATTGTTATTAACCATAAATAAACTAACCTTGACAATATAAAATAGAAAACTTTAACAATCAACAAAATAAATTGAACCAAACTTTAGACAATAAATAATTCATCCTTCTTCCAACAAGATAGAAAACTGTAATTTAGATATCAACCAAATCAATCCCTCAAGCTTATTTCTTGAATCAGAATCTTTTGCCATTAACACATAGAAGTTTTCTTTTTTTGGATTAAATATCATTGAAGAAGAAGAAGAGAATATAACAAGATGAGGGGGGACATATGAGCCTTACCCCTTAATGGAAAAGAGATAAAACAGGAAGCCAAGTAATAAGAAGCCAAGAGGTGGCATGATGTATAAACAAATAAAATTCTTAAGATAAAAGTTAAATGAATCGATAATGAGGAAGACCCCAAGTTTGATGATGCAAGATGCCATGATATCAGTAAGGGCATAGTTCCACCAAATAAAGTCTTAACATTGGAAGCCCATATTTGCAAGTTTGTCAGCAACACCATTCCCTTCTCTAAAGATATGTGAGTGATAGAAAGTGATTTTGCTCAAGAGATGTATGCAATTAAACCATCTATTATGCAGAGTCCAAGGTAGAAGATAAGGTGATGAACTGAGACAACTTAAAGCGACTGAAAAGTCACTTTCTAACCATAAAAATTTTCATCCTTTAGAATTGGCAATTTCAATAGCCGAAATAATAGCATAAATCTCATTGTAGAATGAAGTCTGGTGACCTAGAGGAATTGCAAAACATTCCATGAATTTTCCCACATGGTTCCTAAAAGCTTCCCCACTAGCTGCCAGGTCGGGATGCTTTTGGATAGTCCATTGATATTGACTTTGATCCAAGTTCTCATAGGAGGATACCAAATAACAGTCTGAATTTGTGGGCCACTAAGAAAATGAGACCAAATTCCCAAATTATCAAAACTAGTAGTTGGAGATGAGTTAACAAAGCCAGGGTATAAATAAGCCAAGAGTTGAATGTGTGCCTTGCATGAACTTTGAATGTGGACAATATTTGGCAAGGTATTCTCAATTCTCAACTTATGACGAGCTTTTCAAATGAACATAGAAGTTGTTCTTCGGCTGTCAATGCATTAATATAACATACACTGTGATATCTACAAATCATAAATTGAAATCATTGTTATTAATTCTATATAGAAAAGTGTATTATGATACATAAATTACACTTTAGGTGGATAAAAGGCAGGAGTCATTGGGTTAAGAAGGAAGCTAAGCAGTCATAAACATATATTTAATCAAATAAATGAAGCACAAATTATGTGACAAGAATTCAAAATGGAAAACTAGTATTTATGTGCAAAGATTGCTTATGTTTGATAAGTACAAAGTCGGATTTCGCATGATTCGGTTATAAACCAAATGATGGCATTTATCAGAAGTTCAAAAACTTTAGGCAAATATTTATGCAAAATGAATAAAAGAAGATCAAAAGGCAAGTGATAACTGATAAGAATATCTACCTCACTACATTGAGTTGTTATGATCAACAAGAAAAAACTTGGATGAATGAACATGTGTCTCTCTTAGATTTTCTACAAAAGAATCAAGAACTTCAACCACATCAAGATAACTGATCTAGTATGAAAAATAATTATTATCATTTCACATATGCATTCAAATACTAATGATTCAAAACTTTCAGTGCAACTATAAAGTCAGTGTTTTTTTCCATGTATATATATAACTCACCCAAATGAGAATCTTGTATTTCCTTCTCAGCAATTAGTTAGTTGATTTGATAATGAATATAAAAGAGAGTGGATATATAGCAAAGTTATCTGTCAAAGAAATCTTTATCCATAAAATATATGAGAACCAGAAAAAGTTTACAATTCGAACATCAATTGCCTTTAGATAATATATATTGTGACAGAAATGCACACAAATCATCTTATAAACAATAAAAAATACACCATAAAGACATAAGTTGCAGAGAAAACGAGAGACACCATGCAGTCGTTTCTTTTTCTTTTTTTGGTCATGAACCCATCTAATGTTTCACTATTTTAGGCCATGTTGCAAGTTCCTACTAAAAATAGCATTAATTAATAATTAATGTGAATTTCAAATTACTAAGTATCAAAGTTAGAGGTAGATTTTACAATTTATTAACAAATAAAATGGTTTTATAAAAATCCTATGCCTGAACCAAATAACATTTGGCTGGTTCCGATACTCCACAGTCCAAGGAAGTGGACATGGCCAATTTTTCAAGAAGTTTTTGCCAACCCTAGATATATAAGATGACACAGAAAGATAGTACTTACAAGAGCATCAAGGCAATAAATCTGTCATTATATAGACGACAAATCCCAAACATGATTATCAAACACGAATTGCACAAGAAATATACTAAGAGCGCTGCAAAGAGGTAGTCAAAAGAGGAAAATCCGCAATTGAGATCTGCAAATCTACAAAATTACTTTCCAAATCTAAAAGGTACAAATGAATAAAATTTTATCAGAAGTAGATACGAATCAGGCCAAAAAGAGAGACATGAAATATGACAAACAATTAAAGCTTAAAACGGTGATTGTACTCTTAGTCTTTCACCACACAACCAGTAAAACTAATACTTAGTCGATAGTAGCACGCATTGATTTGCTTTTGGTGCAAGTTATGATACTGAAAATAAGATCAAGAATCGGAAGATTTTGATAAACTTACCCAGAGTTAGAGTACTCATAGACTCTTCCTTTCTGTGAAAAGATAATCACTGCAACTTCAGCTTCACAAAGAACCGATAGCTCATAAGCCTTCTTCAACAGTCCATTTCTGCGCTTAGAAAAAGTCACTTGCCGGCTTGTATTATTCTCAATTTTTTTCATCTGAATTTTTCCTCTCACCATGTCCTAGTAGTTAAACATGGAATTAAACTTAGTTACAAAGATTCAAGTAACCCTAATCATAAAAATCTCCAATCATCATGAAATGCTAAAATTATCTCACCAATAATTTGGAAAAAAAACCCGGAGAGATTGTGTTTAAGCACAGTTTTTACAAGAAAAATCAATAACCGGAAACCCAGAAAGAAACTATCTCCTGGAGATTTAGAAGACCCAAAAAACTCAAGAAAAAATTATGGGTGGAAGCAACAAGAGGGTCTCAGATTTTATAGGAAATGGTTACAACCCAGAAACCAAAGGAAAAATCCATACAACCCGACAACAAAATAAAGGGAAGGAATGAAAACGGTACAAAAATGGGAAAATTCCAAAACCCTAGGGGCAGAAACGCAGAGGATCTTTTGATCGTTTGATGACTCACTCCCTTTATACTCAGACCACAAGCCTAGCTTGCTGTTTTTCTTTCCTTATTCATCATGTCGGAGTCGCTTTATCTGTTTTCCCTTTCAAGCTCTCAAGTTCTTACCCCAAATGAACAGAAAAGCATAATCAAAGTGAATAACAGATAATTTCTATATAAAGTTTAATAAAAATAGATAAAGAAATAAAAATTTATTTATAAATTCATAGCATATCTTGTTTTGGAAAAATTAAGATGAAGATATATAGAATATAAAGAAAGACTAACACAGAAAAATGGATTAAAATAATGTTGAGTCCAAGAAAAATGGTGAAGACACACAAAAAAGAAGCATTAAAAATTGCTGAAGTGAATAAAATTCTGTCAACATCATCGTACAAGGACTTGCGTAAGGACCCAATAAATGTATGACAACACATCATCTGTCAGTCGCATCTACGAATGGAAACTGAATTTAGTTTTATGTTTGTTTAATTAATTTGGTTAAGCTTTTTTTTGTGGCTTAATTAATTACTAAAGTTAATGTAGTTTCTGGTTTGGTTGGAAGGATGTGATGGATGGGTTTGTGATTGGTCAAAAATAAATAAATTTAATGAAATTAGTTGTTATGTTATGTGGCTGGGCCAGCTTGAGCCTGGGCCTAGGTTTGTTTAATTCTCTCCTATTTAATTAGGGTTGTTAGGACCACTTTGCCCTTCAACTAGGCTTTCCTTGTTAATGTTACTACTCTTTTATAATTTACAATTTTTAATACAATGTATAAGCATGTGTTAATTTATCATACATTAAAGAAAATATTATGTGCAATTTTTTTTTTTAAAAGTTGACAATATTAAATTAAAGTTTACTTTATAATTGAATTTAATTCAATAATTTAAGCAAGAGAAATTCTCATTAATCGCTTTTTAAGAATACAACCATTAATTGTTTATTCTAACGCTTCATATCAAGAGATACTTTCTAACAATTAAAATAACTCTAGATAAAATTAAACTGCCCTTATAAATATAAAATAAACGACCTTAAAAAATAAGATACATGTCTCAATCAATTGAGTGACAAAAATTAAAATTACGTTGATTTATATGTTCTTGGTCCCAAATATGACAAGATATAAATTGATAAATCAATGCACGACGGAGCCACTTGGCATGGTGTTATGGTAGTAGAAAGACATTAAAGAGTATACGTGGACTTTAATTTTATAAGCTGTCCCATTCCCATCGTTCATTGGAGTCTTTGCTTTTTTTTTTATTTTTTCATACTTTTTAATCATCACATCTTCACCATCTCTTTCCAAGCACATAAAACAAATTAAATTGCCGTTTTATAATTTTTTTTTTTTGGGGGGGGGGGGGGGGGGGGGGGGGGGGGGGGGGGGGGGGTGGGGGGGGGGGGGGGGGGGGGGCAACCTCCCACCCCTTAAGGTTAAGACATAGAATAAATTAGCTACCTCAAATTTTCTACACTTTATTATATGTTTCATATTAATCAATATGACATAAAGTTAATGGAAACGTAAAATTAAAAAATCATTATTAGATCCTCAAATCTACATTTTATTATATGTTTCATATTAATTTATATGACATGAAGTTAATGGAAACAGAAAATTTAAAAATCATAGTATATAACATGAGTCGACATTCTGACTTGAGCATAGAGATTCTAAAATGACAGTCACTCACTGACATTAATATTCCCTAAACCTGTTAAGGCCAATTCATTGCTTGTTCGAAAAGTGTAGATTCGTCAATCAAATTTTAGCGCACTAAAATAAAAAGCATAAAATTATTTTACTTCCTATTTTACGAGACTAGTTGTATATTGCATGTATAATCATATATAATGATCCTTATCTGTTTTGTAAATAAACATGTTAAAATTACTAAAATACAAAACTTTTATAAAATTAATGCATAAAAAATTAAGTTTATTTTCCTCTTATAAATATAGTGTACCAATATAATCAATTTTTGTAATATATATGCTTCGTTAAGACCGATCATTATGAATTTTAAAAAAGGAAAAATTAAGATGATGTACACATGTCATGTCATCCAAATATGTAGTTACAAAATATATTTTTTTTTTTCTTTCAAAATTATTAATTTTTAACTTTTAACAATTTTAACTAGATAATAAATAAATAAAAAGTAAAGAAAAAAAGGAAATAAATACCAAAATGACGAACTGCTATTTATGTAATACATATCTCCCTTAAAAAAAATAATCACATTAATTATTTATAAATATATATATATAAACCTTGGTCTTTGGTACCAGAAAAAGGATTCAGTGGATGGGCACTAAATTCGTCGGCAATCCCCTCTTTCGATCTGAAATGACGCGAGGGGGTATTAAGCAATAAGCAACTTTTAGTGTACCAAATGCTTTTGAAGATGTGATTAATTAAATAAATTTATTAAAAATAAAAAATGATTAATTCGTCAAGTAAATAATAATATAAACAATTAATAATTTGTTTTCATCAATAGCTAAATATCTAGTATATTAATTTAGAAAAATGCTACGTTTACAACCCAATCTCACAATCTTCTCTCACAACCCAAACGTGTCAACAGATTGACACTGTAACTTCAACTCCCACTACAGATGTATACGAGCCGAGCCAAGCCGAGTCTCTTGGTACTCGAGCTTGGTTCATGATGAACAATGACGAGCTCGAGCCCGAGCCCGAGCCGAGCTTGGTTGAGCTTCAATATTAGTGTTCGAGCTCGCGAGTCATAAGGTGCACTTGAGCTCGAGCTCAAGCTCAATGGCTGCTCGTGAACCAGAAGGAAGCTGTAAATCTGAAGGCAAAATTTGCCCATAATTCAACACAATCTTCCATTTCCAACACCAACAATCTTCCAAAACAATAATGAAATGACAAGTTTAAAGTTCTTGGATGAAATAAGCATTACAATTGTCTGATATATTTGTTGGATGTACATATGTAATATGCATTTCTTGCACAAACACAAGTGTACAACTACAAAAGGGTAGACACTAGACAGTACACTCCATGAAGCTGTGTACAAACACATGAAGCTTTGTACAAACACATGAAGCTATATACAAACACAAAAGTACACTCCATGAAGCCATGTGCCTATGTCCAAACACATGAAGCTATATACCAACACAAAAGTACACTCCATGAAGCTATATACAAACACAAAAGTATACTCCATGAAGCAATATACAAAGACAACAGAGCAAAAAACTAAAGCAAGAAATATAGACTATGGGACAGCAAAATTCGAGAACACCAAGAGAGAAAAACCCAAAGCCACCCAAAGTCAGGCCCCTCACCTGCAGATATTTAAATGTAAAGTGTAAATACAAAGGAAGCAAATAGTTTGCAAGCCAGACCTCTCACCAAATCAAAATCAACACAGTAATCACCATTCACCAAATCAAAATCAACACAGCAACATCACAATATCCCTCATAACAACAATCACCATTCACCACTAAATCATCATAGCAATCACACTTCTAACATTACTTGCAATTCACCATTAAAACAAACAAATCAATAAACTAATAAAACCTTTAATGACTGGTGAAGCACTAAAAAAAGCTATATATTTACAAACCTGCGAATATATGTTAGAGGGTCAAATAATCTACTCAATCCCTTCAGATGAAAAGATAGGAAGGGTAATCTCCAGTGGTTCCTCATCCGTCTAAAACACATATAGGAAAAAATTAGAAAGTTTAAGGTTAGAGTAAAAGAAAAGTATATTCTAAATAAATGAGACATAAAACATTAATAATTTAGGGTTAATTGAACTTACTTCGTTAATCTTCTTTAGTCCGAGGAGATTGTGACAACAATCACCTCCACATAGTAGTGCTTGCACTGTGTCCGGAGACAGTCAAGATCGGTAATTGTCAATAACTCTACTTCTCGCACTAAAGGTAGCCTTCGAAGCCATTGTAGTAATATGAACGACAAGTATATCACGAGCCACCTTATATAACACTGGATATTTCAAACTATTTGCTTGCCACCACTTTAGAGCATCGAACGCCTCATGATCCATCTGACACTTATAACATGGCTCTTCCAAATAGGAATCTAACACCAATTTTTCCGTGGCAACAGTTTCAATTACGCCCATATACTTCATTAAATCCGACCAACTAGAAGAGTCATCATCCGCATTCGTCCCACTCCTACTCCCACTCCCCCTTCCCCTAACTTGATTGGTTGCGGGCATATGTCGAACGACAGATGATTGACTTTCGGCCACATATTCCCTGTACAAACTCGTATAAGGCATCCCGAACTGTTGTAGTATGAGCCTGTGCTTCAAGATTACCATAAATCTTAGGGAAATCATAGTCGAGCACTCTCATTTTGTACTTAGGGTCCAGAACAGCAACTATAGACATCAACATAGACATCAACAAATTGCACCCCCCCCCCCCCCCCCCCCCCAAAAAAAAAACATTTTTTTTATCGAATTTCCCTTTCATCTTTCTCACCATGGTCCTCACAAATTTATTTTCATCCTCAGCATGTTTATCCAACAAAACTTTCACCTTACAAAGCTCGGCAAGAAATCTATTTGATGTTGGATATTCAGACCCTGAAATGATGTTAGTGGCAACATTGAAAACCTTCAAAATTTCACAAACTCTCTCTATTTTATCCCAATTTTCATCAAGGGACAAGAAGTGAAATGCTGGTCTCTTTCAAAGTATCTTGGAAACACCCTTTGGAATTTTAGTACAGTTGCCAACATCTCATAAGTTGAGTTCCACCTCGTTTTACAATCCAATATCAACTTTCTGTGAGGCAACTGCAATTGTTGCATAATTTCTGAAAAGATTTTTAGTCTACTCTCTGATTGATTGATGTAGTAGACACTATCACGGACGTCTTTGATAATGTGCCTAATCTGATTAAGACCATCTTGCACCATTATATTTATATGTGGGAGCAACACCTAACATGAAAGAACTTTCCCCCGCAAAGAAGCTTCTTGGTTACAGAAAAGTTTTCCTTCAAAACCTTGATTGCCATGTCATTAGTGGACGCATTATCAACTGATATTGTGAAGACTTTGTTCTCAATTCCCTATTCCCGCAAACAGTTAAGCATGCTATCAGCAATCTGGACACCATTGCGAGGAGGCGGTAAATGAACAAAATTGAGCACACATTTGCTTAACCTCCAACTAGGATCTATCCAATGCCCCGTTACAACCATGTGCTC